GTATATCTCTGTTTTGTCTATTTTAAAAATATCAATTGTCTCCATGGCATATTATGGTATGGACGCCTCAGACCTGAATCATTGGTCAAAATTCTGTGTATAGGCGTTTAATTTCCATCCACATTAGGGGCATTTCAGCAAAATTTAAATCTAATTACTAATCTTATTACTTCTACGGAGACGAAATGTACATTTGTATCCTTTTGCTGTCGTTGTAAACTAATCGTTTGCCGAATATTCGTAATATTGTTAGATGATTGAATCCGTTAGAAATATATTTATTTTTTTATCAAATTTTTTCTAATTTCTATGAACTCGATATTTCCACCCAAAACTTTGCTGTTTTATATTAATTCACGGAAACATTTTTTATGAAATTTTGAAACACTTTATGCCGCAAATCTTTTCAGTAAACGTGGTACTAAGCCATGTATCCATGTATCTGGGCATTAAAATAATTGCCTAATTAACTCAAATAGCATTAGAAATATAAAATTGTTCAGTTATCAACGAAAATACGCGATTGTTGAACAGAAGTCGCATGGGATGTATTTTCCTGATTGCACCAGTGCATAGCAATTTGGGACAAATACCACGTTTATGCCCAAAATGAAATATTTCTGTGAGAGCTATGTTCGTTCGAGCTTGTTTCCAATTTGCATAAATGTTCGACAGTTGCGTCAACAATACTATGGAGTTAATGATCGAACAACTATTTTAAATTTTTCTAATATAAATAACGAATATTGGAAGTTTCTCATTTTTGGCTTGGTGTCGAAGAAATTGCGTTTTTTTGCGGTGCAAATAAAGTTTTGTCGACTATTTGAATCAGTAATCGGTAGGTTATTGTTTCACCGTACTGAAAATTCGGTGCTCCCGAAGTATGCGAACCAAGATGGCGGACATCGGAACGTAACATGGGTAACAGGTTAGGGTTAGGCGATAATTTTTTTCCAATTTTCCTTATTTTAGTCCTATTATCAGTTCGAAACTAGCTAAGAGCCTCCCGTAGTATTTATACCTAAAATTATGGCCTAACCCTAACCTAGTACACATATTACATTCCGATGTCCGTCATCTTGGTTCGCATACTTCGGGAGCCCCGAAAATTCACTTTGTACTAACATAATATAAAATAATAAAAATAACTTGTAAATGGAGCTTCGCGGTGAAGTAAGGCGCGAAAAAAAAATCTTGATAATCGAGCAGTGACAGTGACACAACAAACCTGGTACATGGTATTACATAAGTTTCTATAATTAACAACACAATGCATCGATGGACGGATGCGGAACCTAGTCAACTTTTAAAATATGACGTGATCTAATACTGATTCCGGGGTACTCTTCGTCCGTTTAAAACTACTTCGTGACTTGACTTCAAGGAAACATTGTAGTAAGTATTTGAATCAGAAATTGCATGTATGCAAATAACAACCACATTATATAAGAGAGACGTTGTATAAATGCACGGCAAAGGCCTATGTCAGATGTTGAAGTTTTTAGACTTCTTCCGTGTGTAGGATATAAATTTGTGATACAGGAGTGTAAAGAAGAAGCCGGTGTGGGTTAGGAGGCACACAGGAAGAACTAAACAAACCGAATAGATTATCAAAAAGTGTTGGCGTGTCTCCAACCCTTTTCTCGAAATTGCGTCTCTGCAATTCTTAAACCAGTTTTTGTATATTCAGTTAGCCTGAACTATTGCCTGTCTTCATTGTTTTTATACCTAAACATTGTTATCATTCATTGATTTAGAATTTTACACTTATCTACTCCAACGAACTGTCTATATTCATATAGCTTTAGAAAAAATAGAAATCTAGATGTTGATTGCGGTGTAGGAGATGAAACAGAGATTAAAAAAATGTTTTCCAGCGTTTATTTTTTTTAATAAATGGGCCTAACCTATTTCAGATATATATATGAAACTATTGGGTTGTAAACGTATAAAAAGCTAACTGTGGGAATTAAGCTTTCCATGATATAAAGCTCTATAATCACTAAATAAACACCACTTGATTTTTTTACCCAGCGTCCTCATTATTGCTTAGATCGATGACTGCTGTCGAATTGCTTTTATCAAAATATTGCGACATTGTGGTAAATTGCGTAAAATGCCACTTATGTCATATGTATGCCATCGTTACTAACCTATTTTCTCATTTTTACATTCAGTACATTATTTTATAATGGGACAGGTCGCTTCGGGATTAGACGTTATGGACGACGATGGGCCAGATATTTTCAGTTTGTTAGAGGATTTATTTCAGTGTTTTGGTATGTTAAACATGTTTGCCGGGAGCAACAAGCGCCGTAAAAAACGTTCAAAAAGAGAAAAAATGTACAATGGTTTTCAACAAGAACCACTATACACAAAGACAAGATATACGACAGACGAAGACCCGTACAGAAGTAGCATATATTACGATACAACCGGGCGAGAAGGAAATACTGGTCTTAATACGGATAACTCGGTAATAGGAGTACTCAAGCCGGATTTTGTTTTGGGTAAAACGGGTAGTACCATATACGAAGTTGAAGTTATTCAACCCGATACATATCAAAAATGGCGTCCCAAGCATAAGGTGCCTAAGTCAAAAGTAATTATCCAATTGGAACCATTGGCAGAGGTTTGGACAATGTGGCAACAGGTGAATAATGACTTGTGTGTATTCGGAATCCCGACAAAAGTACGCAGCAGTGACGGTACAGAACAAAATTCGTTCCTTTACGTAACTGTCGTAACTCTCCCTGTTCAAGTAAATAATTCACGTGATGAACTTAGAGTTGTTCGTCTTATGCCGGCATTAACAGAACCAATCAAGAATGACCTGGAACCGGACGATCCAAGACTTTTTAAAATGGACTACCTGGAGAAAAGTGGCAACAGAAAGCTGTTTCATATTGCTTCGTTGTCCTACTTAGGGATTGAAAATAACGACTTGTGCTTGACTGACTCCCGGCATGCATCTGTGTGGGAAGTTAAAGAACATGCTGTGTCCAGAAAAAAAGTGAGAAAGACTGCAAAATAGTCCTTCAGGCCAACTGTAAATACTATACTGTACTGTAAAGATAATGTTCATACTATAATTATTTATTTCTTGATCTAATTTATTGAGTGACAGCCAATAATTCCACTGTTAAAATGTATTTATTTGCTGTAATATATCGTTGTATTTTTCATGCAAACTGCATTGTTACTATTTTGTATTGTGGTATTTATTTTGAAATCGTCAAGTAGTGTCATCGATTTAAGTATGTTCGACTGTCACAAGTGCTTGTTGAAAGATAGAATTTTGTGAAAACTTGAAATTTTATGTAGCCATTGACATGAAAATGATCTTTATTACTTTTAAGTTGTACTTCATACATATAGAACGTTTTGGATGTATACGCCTACTTCTAACGGTGCGCAATGCAGTGTCTACTCTGGCTGGAGCCTAGGCTAAAGAAAACATATTGGTGTTATTTTACATTACTAAGATCTTGTTTCAATTTACATTATTGAAAATTTATATATTTTATTGGGGAATGCGGTACCGTATGAACCCACCCATTTGATAACAGTAATCGATCGATCATTTAGCACGTATTGGAGATTTTACTCGATCATTTTCTTCCTGAAGTTCATAGTCTTCATCACCCATAAATGACTCACGCTCTCGGGTTGGGACAGACAATATTATTTAAATATCGTGAAAAGTCTTTCTATATTTATACCAAGTATGACGCACATAGTAAAATTACGTGACTGATTGCAAACAAATGAAAGTGGATGTCAGCCTAATATGCAAAGACTTGAATGATATAAAAGTCTCATTGTTATTTATTGGCGTATATGCCAAAGGAGCTATAGAATGCGGATTCAATTGTCCCTCATTTTTCTCGCCCTCTGTCTAGAATTATGAAGTTATCTTAGACAAACAGTGCTTGTCCTAAAATGTAGAATGTATTAAAATTAGCACTGTTACATCATCTAATTTTGATTCGAAACCACTTTCGTTGCGACTTTAATAATATTTATGGACACAATATATGAATAAATTTGATTATGTTTTGAATGTCTTGACAATATATCGCAACACGTCTTCGTAAGAGAATGAGATAATCACAATGTATTTACTCCATAATAAAAGTGAAAAAAGTCTCTGATAGACAAGAAGCTGTAAGGACAGGAATCTTTCCGATTCGGCATTGCTTTCCCAATTTATTACAACGCGAGTGAAGTGGTGGACAGAAGATTTTTATCCAAGACTGTAACCTGCGGTGCCGTCATTGGTGCGTCGAACGCTTTAGCCAACAGGCCGCCGCGCCCACTAAAAGTAGACGCACATCTGTAAAAGTACATAAATAACGACAGCATTGCTACCAAATTAGAAAGAAGTCGCGCAACCGTCCATTAATTTGACGTGTTTCGACGTATCACGCCAGTATGTTCTTCAGTTACACAAACTGTAGATTGCACCGTAGAAGCATGTGATGTTGATAAATTCAAATAGGAAGATTTACAGATATTTTGGCCAATCTGGTATTGAAATGGAAAAAGTCGCAACCGCGGTTTCCGAACCGTGCGATAGTCGCCTTACTGCCACAGGTCTTACTGGAAGTTGGCCTATACGCGACACCTACTAAACATACACTCATTGCACGTTGCTATGTCATGACGGACAATGTCGCCATGACACGCTCTGAAACTGGGGCATGGCATGTACTGTTCATCAACCCGTCATGCTAGGAAACAAGGATGACATAAGTCAGCATGTTTACATGATTTGTTTTGATTTTTAAGTTGACCTCGTGATGTTCGTTAGCAATGAAAAAGGGAATTGGACCTTCCTCAAACATGAGCTTAACCAGGGAGAGTGCTTTTAAGGAAACGCTGTTTCCCTTATAGGAGAGACAGATCACAGTCACAGAGTACGAAAACAAAAGCAAAAGTCGTAATTACACGCATTTGCATTCACTTAGACTTTCCCAAGCCTGAAAATACCAAAACACTTTAATCAAAATGGCTTTGTTAAAAAGATAAATTCCAAAAATGATCACAAAAGTAAAACAAGCAAAACGAGTAACCGTCTAATAATAATAATAACAGCAGAGGCAATCTAGCTACGAATTCTACTTTACCATCTTCATCGCGATTCTTTGGCCGTGACAATAAATGAAAAATATAGGATAGAAAAGAGAACAACAATTCTACAAATTTAGTTTAAACATGAGTATTAGAATAAAGTATTAAAGAATATGCCTGTCATCATATTGAAATAACCTTAATTAAAAAATCATTCTGTTAAGAATATGATAAAACATACAGCGGCAAAAACTTTCAAACATGCATCAGCTTGATCCAAATAATTGGCCTGCATACTTCATTCGCCACCACCAGCGCACCAGATGCATTCTATTTACTGAATCTTCTGCCAATATGCAAAATTGAATAACTTCTAGTTATGTGAAACCATCCGTTCTGACATACGTTTCAACCCTTATCGAATGTGTGATGATATTTGAACAAGCTTAATCCAAATTTTGAATTTGTCATCCACTAAAAATGAGAGCGAAAAACTATTATCAAAACGTTGAGCATACACCTCTTAAAAGCAATTACCAAATTTTCTGAAAATGGATTCTGCATAGAAATCAGGAGGTACAAGTTCGTCTTTTTATCGAATCAAGTATTTATGAACATCATTTTGCATTTTCTCTTGTACATAACTATCAAAAACAATTAATCTTCAAAAAGCAGAATTTCAAAATATTGAAATGACAAAAGTCAAAATTGAATTTACATTTCACGTCTTTTTATAATTAGGACGGGGTTAATGCCATTTTGAAGAATACCATTTTTACCATGATTACTCGAAAATTTATGTAAAGATTCACGTTAAAAAAAAATCATGAGACTCTTTGCTACAAATCAATTAAATGCAAAAGGTTATCACAAAAAAGGACTGTTGTCATTAGCATCCGTGGTAGTGCAGATATCAGTATAATTTTTAATCTTAGGCCTGTGAATACATTTTTGGAACACGGAAGAAAAGGCTTTAAGTAGGCACATTTCTGTTTACAACAAAATGATAAAAGTTATTTTCACAACGTGAAGCTGATACTACTGAAGATACAATTGCTTCAAACCAGTCTGGTAAAATACATTTTATGAAATGTTACAACAAATCTCCAATCATGATAAATTGGTTCCATATAAAAATACAACTAAACAAACAAAACAACATGAATGAACGAGCAAAAAATAAGACAACAATGTGATAAAAATGGAAACTTAATCCTGAAAGAAAAAAAAACAAAACTAGAAATAAAAACACGAATAATAAAAAAGCGTCATTTTCCGCTTGATGGCTTTCCTGGGGGAGGCGGAGGAGGGGGCAATTCCCCTCCTCTAGAGTCAGTTTTTAATGCTTTTGACACAGAGAATATGTTGTCTTTAGAGGTATCTACATTTTCAGGAGGTGGCAGAGGCGGTTGGGATGACGACGTGGGTAAAGGGGGTGGCATGGATGTCGGGTAGCCTGCACTTTGCATCTGCGAGAGAGAATACGGCTGAGCCATTATGCTAGATGTTTGGTAGGGTGGATATTGAATCATCTGCGGTGATGAAACACCATAGCTGACATATGGGGTAGCATAATATGGTTGGCAATGAGGCACAGAAGTTGATGCAAGTGTTTTAGTTTTATCACCACCAGTCCATACTCGTTGTGTTGAATTGGTTGGTCGGGATCTAGATTGAGTTTTGTAATTTCGAGACTGTTTGCTTTGTTCTGAGTATGGGGTTGATGAATGACGTTCCTGATATCTTGGGTTCCTATTACCATGATTTCCTTGCCATGTGCTGTGTGACTTACGATATTTATTGTAATTATCATTTCTTTCATTGTTATCATATTCTCTTGTTCTGCTTTGCTCTGATATGTTGCCTTCTGAAGATGGTTTTCTTTGCCATGGCCTAAAAATAAAACATGTTATCGGCAATGTACAAAATAAAAAGAAAGCTAATTTAATTTTTTGTCGTAGAATTGAGACTCAAGTTGTGTTCGGAAATAAGAACTACAATAAAAGCACCCAAATCCTTGATTGCAAGGTGAGTCAAATTCCATATTTAACCCATACCAGTTCCTATTTGCAAATATAGTTTTGAATTTCAGACAGTGGAATGAGTCAATTTCAAGTCCTCAATAGCAAAGAGTTATTGGACTATGGACAAATGATTCAGTCATTATACAATTCATGACTCGCATCCAAGTACTTCCTAATACTAAAGGGCCTTTTGTTGAACTGTCTTGAGTCAGTTTGGAAAACTTTGGAATCTTGCACATCAGTACTCTTTTGAACTTCCACTTTATAGCATGTTCTTATCGACTTTTTAATGAGTAAATAGTCAAAAAATATGTAAGATAGCAATAACCACATTTTAATTTTTTTTTTGATAAGCTAAACTGCAATCATATCATTTGTGGCATTTAAACTGAAAAAGAGTCGTAACTTCTACTTTTTATAGTTATGTGTTTATTAGGGTAATGAAGAGGTCATACAAGCTTCCTTTTTTATTATTAAAATTAATATTTTCGCCAGAAATCATGTGATCAAAAGATCCAATAGTTTATCTATATATCATTTGCTTCAGCTTTTTCACTTAAAAATAATCAAGCATATAGTGGCGCGCTTCAAGGTGTTGAACTCGAACTACTCACTTTTTGTATTTATCTTGAGAGGGATTTTGTTTATTTCCAGGACTTTTTCTATCTGAATTCCAAGCTGTAGAAATTGATATATTAATCATTAGTTCTACTGGAGTACAAATTATTTCTGTTTAGTATATACTGGGTAAAGCATTGTTCTATAATAGTTTTCTTTGTGGGTAATTATAAAATGACAGCAACTGATCATCATGGAAATAGAAATACAAATGTTCTTTTATAAAATAATTTTTGTTAATAAATCTTCCATTCCATTTTCAAAAATTTGCAAGTGGTGTTTGGCTAACTGTCCATTTTCAATCAGGTTATTACATCCCAGTAATTTGACGATGATTTTTAACAGTAACATTCCTGAATAATACTGGTCACTTCTGGCTGATAGAAAGGAATATAGCTCAAGTAACGAACTGCAGCTTGAGACGAGGATATTAACAAAACGAAGAATTAGGTATAGAAAAACAACAAATACATTCACTACCTTTACTACTAGAGACAGTTTTATTTGTGTTATTCTGCTTTGTGGAATGTGCAGTGCTGAAGGTTTTTTTGTGCAACTGATGGTCACCGTGCTTCAATTTTCCATCATCAGCATTCACTTTTTTGTTTTCGGACTTTGACGGACTTTGTACAAGATGATCCAGTTTCTTGATGCTGTCTGGTGTCTGCCGATTTACATAGTGAGGTGGGGAGGCAGCTGGTATACTTTCACCTGAGGATAGCACTATGGTCAATGAACAGGATTTATACGATTTACTCATTCATTCAAATAAACGACTGGAACAACAACCGATGTTACAGCTTCATCATGTGGTAAACCTCACTGATTGCATATCTAAAGCTCAGCTCAGAGCAAATGAGAATAACACAGGATATAACCACAATATACAGAAATTGCAACAAAATATAGTATAATGTTATCATGTTAGATTAAAAGTGAAAAGTGAAAGTTAGATTAAAAGTGACACATATTTCTATTTGTCTTAACCATGGTTTTTAAAATTGGGCACTTTTCCCTCTTTGGGGGTCACGGATGGTCAGCTGGAGGTCACAAGTAAGGTGTCCATTAGATACCATTCGAGGGGAGCCCATTAATTTTGCTGCGATTCGTTTAATTCTTTGATAGTAACACATATATTTATTCTTTTGCTATCGTTTGTTGGTTTTGTAGTATTAAGCGCATGAAATAACTGACAGTAACATGTTTAAAGCAATTAAGCAAAACTAGGTTTTTTTTTCTCTAAAAACCGGGATCATAAGTGTTGAGTGTGTTTGTAAGGCGCTATGGATTATGAAAGTTTGAGAATTACTGATCTAATTGAGTGATATATCTAAAAGGAAATTATTTAACCGGAAAATGGCAGTGTCAGATTATGTTCTTGATCCCTTCATCAGAGGTGTGCAACCTTTAATAGGGCCAGATACAAGTAACTGGGTGAAACCACGGTCCACGGGCCACACCTTCTTTTACATAGGCTTTCTAGTAGTTGCAGGCACAAAAATTTTGGTTATTGATCTTATGACATGCGTTGCTCACTTCATACAAGCTAGCTTCGGGCGTTGTAATGCATATGCATAAATTGGACACAGGTATTAGCTTTGCAATGCGAAAGAATTGGCATTACTCGCACGTTCCAATCAAAATTGACACTTCTCCGTGGGCCGCACAATTTCCCCCTGTGTGCCACAGGTTGCACACCCCATGCTCTACATCGTACAAACAGTTAATAACTCACCATCGCTTGATAATGAGTGAGTAGGAGACTTGATATCTGGTGATCCAATTTGCGAAGAATGTTTGTGTGATTTCAACGCCAATTGCTTTTTCGTTTTAGGCCAAAGTATACCAACGTCTTCTCCTGAATATTTACCCTGGTGCTTATCTGGTGATTTCTCTTCGTTTGCGTTTGACGATGTTTCCTCCTGTGATAAATAGTTAGAGAGATTGAACCGATGTGTAAAGTAGAAAATGTGATATATTAATATGATTAAAATATGTTTTCATATTTTCAACGGGGAGAATTTGGTCTCACACGTTTTTCCATATTATGTTTGCTTTTACATACATTTATACTTTATACAATTCAGACAATTAATCTATTGCGCAGGGGTTTCTCGAGCCTCTGGAACGTTTCATTGGGGTTCTGCTCATCCAAAAAGATTGAATACCAATGCACTAGGTCAGGGGGAGGGAAAATTTCTTAGTGTAAGACCCGCATGCAGCAAGTCAGAAATATGTGAGAGCCGCATAATTTTTGAAATTATTAGTCGATTAGGGGTCGCGTCTCGCGTGAGGATTTTCCGGGGTCGCCTGATGCGCACACAAGTGGATAGGATTTGGAAAGGAAAATTTGTGCTGGTCGGCAGGTATCGTAAAAGTGCCTAACTTCGGATTTTTCAGCAATAACTCGACCATTCATTGTCCAAACTGTGTCAAAATTGTGGTGCTTTCATGCGGTACCTAACTTTTCCAGCTAGTCGGCAGTTGATCTGCTGGTACACGAATCATATTTTTGCCAGGATACGAAAAATCATGTTAATTAGTATCAGTGTAGCCGCTAGGTTATCGAATAATCGAAGCAAAGTTGCTTTATTTAGCGATAGGCCCTTGATTAGGTGTTTGACAAGTATGGTATTGATTGCAAGAAGATGTCTTGGGCCTTTTTTATGTATATATAGTAGTAAAGTAATCTTCCTATTTCGAAGTATTGTACCATTCGTAAGCTTCCTTACAATACAACACATTTCATCAAGTCCGCCTTTGTTTCGGCAAAGTTATAATTCTGATATTGGGGTTTTTTACACCATGGTTTTCATTACAATGCCATGTGTTATCAAATCTTTCAGGGTTCCCCGTTTTGTCGGCGCATTGCTGGACTAGTACACTTGCATTCGATATACAGGTTGTTTCCATTGAGGTAATTGAACTGATACACATTAGCCTACTGATTTTTGAAGTTGTTCAGCGTTTCTAGTTGTGGGATCGCGAGTATCTGTGGGCTTTGATTTTAGGAAAAATGGGGTCGCGAAAAAAAAAGTTTGGGAACTACTGCACTAGGCTGGCCATTGGGCCCACAAATTAAAGTAAATCAAATTTCACAAACCTTTGAGATCCCCTTTTCTGCATAAGTATCTTCGTCTATAACTAATGATTCTTCACTTTCTCCTGACGTAAATCTACTAGCAGAAGTCGATGATGCCTCAGTTAGCAATGAAGCTGATCTGAAGTTGTGTGATGCCCGACGATTTGTTTCGATTTCTCTCCGAGGTTTTTCTGATTTACTTGTGGTGAATGAAGTCGTTGGTATGACATTTTCATTCAAAGATATGTTCATTGCTGGCATTCGTGCCGCTGTTCTTCTGGGTGGACTTTGATATAGCTCACTTTCTGGTGCAGAATCCGTTGCGGAATCTGATAAGCCTGTTATACCTGCCAGCACTTGAGGTTGTGACGAATTACTTGGGATACTGTCTTTACTCCAACGGGAAATCCTGTCATTTTCATGAACCGACGTCGTCACCGAGATATGTTCAGAGGATGTTGAAATAGAGACAGTTGAACTTTTTGAAGCAAAATTGGGAGAACCAGTTGATTCAGACTCTGATGGTGTCAGTGGTGAAAAGTTTCCTTGGTAAGGGGGTCCGTTATTTGAACCAGAAGATAAACTTGACTTCAATGGGATATGAACTGAAAGAGGAGTGCTGTGAGATTGTGACAAACTATCCACTCTATTTCTAGTCGAAGTATTTGCAATAACGGAAGTTGTAATCGGACATGTATTAATGGAACAGAAAACAGTTTGCACTGACTTTGTTGTGTTCGGACAAGCTGGCATCCCTGAAACTTGTATAATTGTCTGAGATAGCGTTGTTGGTACTTCAGGCAAGGCCTTCATCACATTTGTTTTTGATTTATAACCCTCTGGATACACAGGCTTTGAAATCTTGGGACTCTCTGATGTCATGTGATCATCATTTCGAGGAGTAGTCGAGGACGAAGGACTTCTTTTTACCTTCGATGCAGAAAAAGTTCGAGGTGACTTTGATGAGTAAACGCTGTTCGGAGATGAAACAGTTGGTGTTGATTGAAAATTTTCTGACATAGGAGCTTGAGATACTGCACATGATAGTGCAGACATCATCAAGGGACCGACAGACTGTCCTACGTTGTACACATTCGACGAACTCAATTTGGGAGTTGTGTGAATATGGGGGTATATATACTGATTGGTCGGAGTCACAGACATACCAGGTGTTGGAAAAATCCCCAAATGAGCACTTGGTGAAGCAAAACGAGCAGCCCCCAATGTCTGTAAATTTTGGTGCGTTAGGTAGGCGGCAGCAGCGGCATGTGGGGATAATGCCGCTGCATATGGAATGCCAATACTCATTGGATATGCCAGAGGACTGTAAGGTAATTGATAAAGAGATTGTTCATGGGATGGAGTCATTGCAACAGCATTTGGAGTCAATTGCAACAAACGTCTTTGCGTTTGCGGTGGGGTAACTGGTTGAAGAGGGAAGTTTTGTTGCCGGGGCTCCATCTTTACGTTTACTGTAGCGGGCGAGGGTTGCACACTTGTGGATTGAGGGCGGCTCACAGAAGGAGTACGTACACGACTATCCTGATGCGGTCGAGGTGTTACAGGACTATTTGTCTGTACTATTGAAGCAGGCGTGTTTCTAACCGCTGGGGTTGCAACTTGTGATGCAGATTCCACATAGGGAGATGCGGAATTTTTAGTTTTATCAATTGTTATATGAGACGATTCTTTATAGACGAGGTTACTAATATTAAAATGAAGAGGATTCGATGACAATGTTTCCTTTGCAGTTGTATAAGGAAGTGATTGAGTGGAGGCTTGATGTAAATGGTTTGCGAATCTCTTTGGAGTGCCACTTGATGGTGGAGTAATTGGTGACAACATAGACACGCTGTGACCATGGTGAGAATCAGGCTCAGTTTTTGGTAACTTGATAGGATGTGGAATATTAGGAGATTTGCTTAGTGTTGATTGTTCGTTATGAGGATGTTTTCTAGGTGGTGATAATTTTTTCACAGTTGTCGTTTTGTGTTTTTGAGCATTCAGTGTTGGTGAAGCGTCTTTCTTCTGGGGAGACTTGGTTTTCATCACATCTCTGTAGCTGTTCAGAACCTGAAAATTAGAAAATACTACGATAACAGACAGATATTTTTTTTTTTTTTCAATAAAATATTAATAAGCTACAAAATTATGCCCCTAAAGACAGGATAAATTCTACCAAATATAACGTACTATACCTCTTGAACAATTGCCATTGCTTCAGGATTAAGAGTAGAGTCCTGATCTTTACTTGATTCGGATTGTTTCGAAGTGAGTGAGCTTGCTAAAGCATCTTTGGCCTTATCACTTGCAGAGAACGGTACAGGAAGACCGCCTTTGCCAAACCCCAGCATGGGTGAACTTTGCAAATGTCCTGGGGACAAAATTTCTGGAGTAGGTGGAGTTGGAAGTCCAGGAACCATCTTGGGAGCACCCCTTGGCATGGGAAGTGATAACGGAGAGTGAAATGGGGGATGTTTCAACCCAAGTAATCCATCATTAGAACGATCGTTTGCTTGAACTGTTATAGATTGACCAGCTTGTAGCTTTATGAGTCCATGGCTGTTGGGTGTGAACTTGTGACCTATATAAAACAAATATAAATGTATCGGCGCTCCAGAAGTGTGTGTACCAATATGTAAGGTAACTAATTTTGTTCGCCTACTTTACATCAAGCTGTCTATGGGCGGGGGGTATATTCACTTGGCTAACACAGACAATCCTAGAACTCGTTATAGAACTAAAATAGGAAAAATCAGAATAATATTATGACCTAACTCTAACCTGGTACACACACTACGAGAGTAATGTTAAATGATTTTATGTTGCTGGCATTAATTCATATATTCTCCATATACATACCATTTGAATTATTTGTTGGATCAAATGGTTGTTGTTCGAGTGCATTCATGACATCACGAAGCAACATATCAACATGAGTCATATTCTGTTTTCCAGGTAAACTTTCTGGTGTTGATATTGTGGCAAAATGGTAAGGTGAATTTATTTCTTGTGGCCGTCCTCGTAACTCAAACTAAAATACAGAAAGGGCTGTTCAAATATATTTTTTCAGAAACATAAGGACACTCATATGATGGAAATATTTAGGATATATATAAGTAATCGATTTTACAGTTACTAGATCATTTGAAAAATTCAGTAAATTTCTAAATCTCACTTTAAGGAAAATATTAAATATGGCTTTGCATTGAACAACGGTACAAGGAGCTAATACAAAAAGAATCGAATAGTAGGACATACACGTATGAATAATTTGTTACTACATATTACCCTTCATTTCAGTTACCAAAATTTAAAGTACTACCGTATATACAAGCAAGAATCTGCATATAGTGATTGCGGCTGAAAATGATTAATGAATTTAATTTGAATCAATACTAAAACCCAAACTGTCTGATAAATCACCATTTTCCTGTTAAGTTCCCTCAAATTAAAATTTGGCTAATATCCCGAAAATATTCAAATTATGACAATCAGAATTTTATAATCCAGGGCTAGATTATGCAAATCCAGTTAATTAGTCGGACTCGGGTCGGGCCTGCAAATCCAGCTAATACCCACGGGCCCGGGTCGGGCTGGAATTTTTGGGCCTGATCTTACCTCTAGTTGTCAGACACATGAGCCGATGAGCGCTTGCGTCTTTACGCTATGACAGCAAGAACAGTCTGTGATTGGTTGTCATACATGTGATCGCTTACGTGTTTACGCTATGACAGGATTTTGAGACACTTCTTATTACCATAATATATTATTAATAAAAGGAAAACATAACAATAATGGTTTTATTTCCATTAATTCACGTCTGCAACCAATCGCTGTGACAGGTGCGTAAGCCGTGTTACGGTTTGTAGGGTTGACTTATATGCAGGGATATATTGTAAATATCAGTAGCTGCCTTGTTCAAAGTGAGAGGTGTGAATATAAGTTCAATTGTATTTTTAAATATCATACTTTTCTGTGCTATTCTTACGAAATAAAAATAACCATAATCTGATTGAAAAAAGAAAATAATGAATATATAATAGAACTCACTAGTTTTCTGTTTTCTTCTTCCACAAGTTGTAGACTTGTATGAACTTGAAACAAATGTGCTTGTAAATTGTGATTCCTTGCTCTCTCAGCACTGATCAAATTGTAGATTTCACCAGGATTTTTAGCAGAGACCTGTAACTAAGAAGAGAATATCTCTCAATAGAAAAATAATAAAATCCCTCAATATAACACGAGGGAGAGTAAGTCAGTTAAAATTTGAGAAACTAATAATTCCTCCATACTTTGAATATACTTAATTGTACTTTTAAGATATTTTGTAAATCTCAATAGTGAGGAATTACAGGATTACCTCCAAAAAAAAAAAAAACATTCAAATTGGACTGGGTTCCGTTTTTTTTTTTTTGGGGGGGGGGGGGGGGGAGGGGGGTCACCTTGTACTTGATGTACCTGATGGGTGGGTATCAAAATATTCTTCTGCAACCCTTTACAATTTGGCACCACTGAAAAGGATGGAAAAAATAAGAAATCTTCTTATTTTTCAATTTACAGTGGCCTAGCGGTTAAAGCGGCCTAGCGGTTAGACTTAACTGTGTTGGCATCGCAGATTATATATCTCAGATTCAAATCCCATGCCCACCAGAGTGTAATAAATTGGGTAGGCAGTGCCGACCCAAAAAGATCCAAATCTTTCCAAATAATAGTAACTCCTTAGATATCAGGCTGCTTGTTCGGAGTGAAAAAATTTCTATAGTTTAATTTTTCGCCAATTCCTACCAATGCAAAAAAGAGAACTCAAAATGGGATTATTAGACTTGTGATATTATTTAATTCCGCAAATATGTTGTACGCATACCTCATTCATATGATGTTTAACTAACAATTTATTTTCCTCTGCGAGCTCTTGTACATCATTGTGAATAGAAATAGCTGTTTCTCTAAGAAGATCGTTTTGTTTTTGTTCTTCATCGAGGTGTTTCTTTAGTTTTTCTTTGAATTCAGGACTTGTTGAAGCATGCATCAATTGCAGATAATTCATTTTCCATTTTTCTGTGAAATACAATTTTAACGATATTGCATATGAGTGACTTTCTCAAAAATGAACTATTATCCATATTCCTAATCATAAATATATTGGGGAAGACTGGCATATGGGGCATGCTCCTCTACATGAGTTTCTTTGAAAATGTGACATGCCTAAATAGAATATTCAAATCTTTTGCAACCAGAATCAAACACTCATGCAGTTATCTGATCAAAATGTAAAGTTTTTCACTGTGCGAAAATAACAAATATTTTGTCATATGAAGCAATAAATTTTATATTTTAAAATAAATGGGTGTCACTGCTCAATAATCAGTTTTGATTTTTTCAGGTCGGAAGGTTATGAGGAATCTTTGGCATTCATTTACAATTGAATACACAACCTCATACCATTTTAAAAAGGACTCTGGCTCTGACTCAAGATTGATGAAAATTCTACTCTCGACTAGGGCTGAACATTTCGAATCAAATAGTAGATTATTCGAATTGGTTCAGAGTAAAGCTTTGAATCGCTGCCATCTTTTTTTTTTCTTTCCCCCAATGGTTGATGTGAATTCCACATTTTTTTTTATAAAAGTCATATTTTTTCAACGCAATCAGACATAACTAATTTCTGCAGTGAATTATTGATAAAACGTGTTTCTTATTGTTGCTGAACGCTTAGCAATCTGACTGAGTGATGTATTCTATGTTTTCAGTAGTTCATTTGTTGGCAGGACCAGTTACAATAAAAAAAAAGTCGCATACAATTATATATCTCTCAAGCATTCAAGATTAGATTCTGAAATCATCAGGTTTTCGAAAATGCCCAGCCCTACTCCCGACTCCACATCCCTGTTTTTGTCACCTTCTATTATTTCTTCAATTTACAATCTCCAATTGATACAGCCCCATAGTGAAATTTCCCAAAATACACAAACAAACTTTGTTACTTCATTAATAATCATATTGTCACAAAAATGCTGCATTATAGTCACAATTATATACATTAAGACTCACCAAACATCAAATCCAAGGCACACGATTGAGTTTGTTTCAAGACAGGTATTGATAAATCACAATCCGATGTAACAATAGGTTTACTTAGTAAGGACAAGTTCGCAACTTCACATGATTCTAAAAAAGGAAGGCAAAACACAATTGAATCGTTAGGAAATCATAATGACAGAAGTTAACACACGCCAATGGGGCAAAGACTGCCATTTCAGAGGTCAATTCGCAAGCTTGATGCGGATCAAAAATTACAAAAAGTACTTCATAAGAGTACTGTATATCGTGGATGTTCCAAAGCATTCAGATATTCTGAAAACTATGAAATAAAAATAGAAAACTGGTCAAATTATTATTTTTTCATCATAACCTCAAACATGATTGGAATATGAACTTCTGTGTGTTCTTTGTTGAACATGACCGAATCAGAAATATTTTTGATATTTTATATTGACAAATATTTAGAGCATATTAGAGATAGAAAATTATTTGGTTTTGGCTATCCCTTCTTCATATAATTATAAAGAACCGTTTCTAGAAATAAGCTGGCGAGACATGGAAAAACAAAAGTATGTTTCATTATAAGTATAACAAGATATAATTTTTTTGTATGATGCTTATTCACATCCTCCGCTCCCAACAAGGAGCTATACAAGAAGCTACTGATATCTAAAGATATTTGAGGAGCTACAACTTTTGACAAACCAGAATTTTTTTGGTTTTTCAACACACATTCTTTCAAAATAAACCCAATTCTGAGCTTCGTAGCATTCGTAGACGTAACATATGTAGGTACTAGGAAGAACAAATCGTACTAAAATTTACGTTCGATTCTCATTTCAATGTGAATTACTTTTATTATATTTAATTACGATACGACCAATCAAGTTCCATGTGCTGGCAGACCAAAGTATGTTTACACATTTTCAAAAATTGCACATCTCAAAAAAAAATATCAATATCATGATTTGAAGTGAGAAAAAAAACATGTGTTGCTTCTTAGAGTCGCTAAATTTAGGTACAATATTGATTTCTAACATCACATTTTCAGGGGATCATATCACAGAAAAGCTAGTTTCATCGCCATTAGCCTTCACCAAGAAGTCATAAAGATTTCACATAAATTATGCATGGAAAAATATGTGTATATTCAAAAACTCCATCCATCTGATAGGTGTGCAACCCAAAATTAACCTTCGAATGAATTTGAAATTTTATACAGGGCTATACATGACCTTCCTAAAAAAACATTTACAGACTTGATTAAGCATCAAAAATATAAAATAATGAATCGCAAATCAATTATTTTTGTAAATTTCTCAAACAAGATGGAAGAGAGATAATTATAATATTGTAGACCAAAATACCGTCATCATAACAACATAAATAGAAGAATTTTTTTTTTTTATGTTATAGACAGGAAAGATCATCAACAATAAGATCATAAAGTCAACTCCCCCCATATTCACTTTTAAGTTCAAGATTCACCCAATAACAACTAACAAGACAACACTAATATAAAATGGTTAAATATTGACATGGTTAAAAGTCATAACAAATTAATAAATAATATGAGAAGATTTTGATTCTTACCTGGTGAGGCAGATAGCGTTTTAGCATGCAGAAGATTAAGTGTTGCATGAAGTTGGTTACGACTCAACGTTTCTGTAATTGCGCTAGCTCCTTCCAATTTTCCTTTTTGAGATTTCCGCTTCCTTCTAGGAGGACTAGGAGACGAAGCTGGGCGATTTCTCTGAAATTTAATTTATAAAAATGAATAGATTTTATAAAGAAAGAGAACCTTAAATAATAAAGTATGTATAAGGCCGTGAATTACCGTATTTCCTCCTTGAAAAAAGCAAAGTCATTTATACTCACTCAAGAGTGAGGGAAACTCGTCTCTGAGCACAAGAGACAAATATGACACGAGAGAAAAAATGTTTATAACAGGATGTTAAACGAACACAATTTTAAAGGAGACTACGAGACAGAAATCATCTCTACTAATATCTACTGAACTAATACATTAAACCAGGGGTGTGCAACCATTAATACAGGAGGGCCAGATACGAATAACTGGATGAAAACCGCGGGACGCACTCTTATTTTACATAGGCTTTCTAGTAGTTGCATGTACAAAAGTTTTGATTATCGATTTTATGACATGCGTTGTTCGCTTCGCACAAGCTAGCTATTAGGGCATTGTAACGTCATAGACATCGATAATAAATTGGACTCGGGCATAGGCTTTGCAACGCAAAGGGAATTACTCGCACGTTCCAGATTAAACTAATTAAGAACTCGTTTCCCGGGTCACACAATTTTCCCTTGTGGGCCGCATTTGGCCCAAGGGCTGCAGTGCCCACCCCTGCATTAAACAAATATCAGACCTTTAGAGGTACACGGTTGCTTTTTCTTCTGCTTCTATCATTGTTTAGTTCTATGTTGATTGTACTATTTTGTTTTGCCTGTAGATATATTATGTTTTATATTATTCGAAATATTACCAACAACTATGCAAATGTTCTCATTAATACCATCAGAAAGTTACTGCATTCAGAACTTCATATAAGCGAAAAGCTTATTAAAAATGTGAAAAATATTTTAAATTTAACATATAGTAAAACTCTATACATAATGGAGCTTAGGACAACAAAACAATAATCCATTTAAATCATATTGAGGCTCAAAATAAATGTGTCCCTTTGTGCATATATTTCATTCAGGATGAATTCATCAATATATCTATGTCAAGCATCTGGCTATGAAATATTATGTAATGCATTGATAAAAAAATAAGTTGAATTACACAAAGATCATATTTGGGCCATTTTTGATTCGAAGGTTGGCACATCATTAGGGCTGCATGGTTTTGCCAGTTAGAATATCATCAGAGATAAATATATGCAAGGATTGCTGGACTCGTCAATTTCGCAGGGTGGTTCATATGATCAACCGCTGTTCAGATACGGCTTCCTACACTATCCAAAACCAAGATTCTGTGATAAAACATACCCTTCTGGAACCAGATGAATTATCAGCAACCACTGAATTCATATCCTTCTCTTGCAGAAGTTTTGGTTTCTTGGAAGCTCTTTTATTTTTAGCAGAAGAACGTTTTTTATTTCCAGCATGTGCTACATAATCAGCATCAGATTCCTCATCGCTTGATAATTCGATTTTCGAAGCCAAAGCAAGAGCATCAATATCATTGTCTTCAAGTTCGACATCTTGATCAGATATCTCGCTAATCTCAACATCATCAATGTCAAAATCTTCATCTTCACTTGAAGAAATATCGGAAGAAATTTTTCGCGATTTTTTCTTTGTGTGTTTCTTTGTAGCTTTATTTGAGGTTTTACTAGCAGCTAAAGGTGGATTGCCTTTTTGTCTTTTGTTGGAATTTGAATGAGATAAGTTATTGATGATGGGTGTACCAACTCGAGATGGTTGGTTCGATGAATCACTCATTGTGGATGTAGGTGACGCTCTGTTACTATCGTTCTACAGATAAAAAAAAATTAAGGCAATTAAGAAAAAAATTGACGGTAACGAACAAATTAAAATTTCTAGGTATGAATAGGGAAAATACATACTTTTCGATGACCATTGCATTTTAGATCACTGACAGAGAGGTGCTTTGCAAGTTGTAGAACTCCATTAGGATAAGCATCTGAAAAAAAATATCCAGTTAATTTACATTTTTCAAATCATATTAAAAACAAATAAGCATAACAGAATCAATAAAAAACATAAAATGACATACCAAGCTTTTCATTCTTCGATTTTCCATCAAAATTGACATATCTTGCTGCACGATACTGCAAAAAAATATGCAAAAAGTTACAACAAATATGGTTGTTTGACAACAGCACTTTGACAAACTTTGATTGAAATCAATTCCGCAAACAGTCGTATATCATTTGAAATAGAATTTGAATATTATTATTCATATAATATAACTTATGTGAAAAAAAAAATTGAAAGGAAGGCGAGCTGCACAATGCTGCACTGCTATGTTCGCTCACACCACAGTTATTAGAATACTGATAAAATTGGGCATAATATAAAGATTTTAAGAATTTTCCTGATTCTTGAGTCCCACCTCTTATCTATTACAAACATAGCATTACCCAAATTTGTAGTAAATATGATCTCAGTTTTCTTCGATAAAAACAAGCAGTAATATTGGAAAATATATAAGAGCAGTGCAAATATGTTTTATAGGAACTCATGGTCATTCTACAGGCCAACATTTATAACAGAACAACTCTCACGCTTAAATTTTAATTTTACCATTTTTGCCGCTGGACTATTTTCTTTTGATCTCCTTTGTTCCATTTCAAGTTCCTCTTTCAATTTTGGATCTTTCTGAGCATTGAAATATCTTTCTAACATTGTTCTATCCACAATCTGGGAAAATACAAAAAGACAAAACAAATGATGTGAATATGATAGCTTCGACGACACAATAAATGCCAAAGTGTTTGGTCTTATTGTTGTTAGTGGGTATCAGGTGAACAGTGAGAAAGACATTCTTGCAAGTAGTTTTAATTGTAACCTTGCTTGTTCTATGATTTGAAACTAGCATCATACATGAACTGCAGCAAAATTTTAGTTCAACTTCTGCATACGATAAATAACTTTAATCAAAGGTCAAATATTATGAGTTAAGAGATCGAAATTCCATCTATATGCCACACTTGATCAATGAATCGATCAGATCTTATTCAAAACAGAAGAGCTATGTACAAATTAATACTCATAACTATACAGCATGTGGCTTTGTATCATTCAAATTGAAGGGGGTAGTAATAAAGCTAAAATAGCTAACACAACAAAACCATGGTCCGCTCATGATAACTTGATACAAAGGGATGGTCTTTGTTTTTATAGGAGATTTTTATAGTTCATGTCAAAAAAAACATATTTTATAACCTGGACTAATGAACTAATTTTCAAACAAAAATTTTATAACAAAATATTTGTTAGATTTCATCTTTCCCGCCTTTTTTTTGGATATTTACATTCCAAAACTTTTCATTTATTCCATTATGGTTAGCTAGTTATTTTTAAAGAGGGGCGCGAGACTTCACAAATTCTAAAAAGGGGGCGTGGCCTAAAAAGTTTGAGAACCACTGTTCTAGAGAAAACATCACTTTTGTGAAGAGCAATAGATTATTGAAACGTTTTGGTACAATCATATACAAACAAAACTTCAATTGTTGGATGGGTTCAATTAAGAAATTGATGGTACTATGGATAAGTGAATATAAAACAAAAATTGACATACCTGTAAATAATATGTGACAGGATTAGGAGTCCATGATACAGATCCCCGTAGTGGAGATAACTCTGAAACCCTCAAAATTGTGCCAATATCTGGAAAGTGGATTGTATTGAATGATAAAGTAAAAGAACATTTGTATTGTTTTAAACAATGTAGGAGCGAAGCCTTAGATATGATTACGGTATTAAACTATAACCATGACAAAAAAGACAAGTGTCAGAATCACATTGCTGGCAGATGTTTCCATCGCACCAAAAAGGAAGCAATAGTATATAGTACTCCTACAATATTCTAAATTATAATCTAGAGCAGCGTTTCATAACTTTTCGGGCCAAGAACCCATGCTTGTGAATTTTATTTTAGGCGAACCCCCATCCTATGTCGTACCAATTTCTGGGCCTAACCAACGCGGAAGGATAATGTTTCCTTTGATGAAAAAAAACTCATGAAAGTCTAAATCAATACATACTAACGTTAAATACTGGTAAGCTAATGACAATTTGGCAAGATTATGATCTATTTGTATATGTTTCAGACTCTTTTCATTTCGTTGCGGATCCCCGTGCAGTTTTCGCGGACCCCAGTTTGGGAAACCCTGATCTGGATCAAATAAATCATCAACAAACGAATGAATAAACAAGTTTTACTTGTAATATGATTCAAGATATAATCTTAGTAACCGCATTGAGGTAAACATTAGTTGTAACGAAACTTCGAAACTAAGATTACACAAAGTTGATGATTTATTCAAATTTTGCATGACAAACACACATTCTACACTGGATAATGAGAAAACTTTGGAGTATAAATAATTATTTCATATACATAAGGTCTGATAGGTATAGAAAAAAATGCAGACAAAAAACAAAGAAATAAAAAAGTATTTTCCAGCTGTTATTTTTTTTGCAAATAGGGTTTTGTGAATTGCTTTACTATAATTCAGAACCAAGGACAGTTGTACTCAAACCCCTAAAATATTGGAAACAAATCACCAAAAATGTTCCATTTCATTTTATATGTAAATATACCTACTATAATGGGACAATGCAATTGATAATCTTGTCAAATTACAAGGCAAAAATAAATATAAAAGCCACTGTAACATGACAAGGCTGCAGTATCATTACAACAAATAATTGTACCATGAGGTACCAGTGCGGTCATACTGTAACGTGATATTATAATCTGGCTTATCATAAGGACCACCAGATTTATTTGAGCCCATTATTACCAGAAAGATGTTTTATTATATTTAATCACTGTACAGTATACAATACTAAGTATCTGAAAGAAACTAGATATAAAATTGTATATGAGAAGAGGATAATTTTGACAAAGCGTCAAATTATATAGTCTGGTGAAGCAGAAAGTCAAATTGCATATTACAATATAATAATTTAGATAAAGTATAAATTATATGTCTCTTCCAACTAATATTTCACCCATTTATTGAGTTTTTGAAGTTTGGCAAAATAACACAAAAATATTCAACTATGTTACAATGGTGACAAATATTGGCTACAGTAGCCTGATGTTTAGCATTTGAATTTACACTACAGATTCTAGTCTCCTATTTCCTGTATTTTATTACATGGTACTTTTATGTGCCTTTCTCTCCAAACAAGGTTCTATACAAGAAGCCACTGCTTGGTATGGAGCTACTATAATTTGGGAAATGGGGAAGGACAAGAATCTTTCCTGTTTGCCAATGACTATCCAATTTATTACACACTGGGTGAGGTGGCGGGCATGAGAACCATTACGCATCCGCACTATCAAATAAAATTACCATATATCCTCACATATAATCGACCCCTAAAAACATGTGTGCAGGAATGCTCTTATCGTGAGAACTTGGCACATATAAGCCGACTCTTTAGTCCGATCAGGGTTATGTGTGTATAAGCCGAATTTTAAGTGCGATCTGAGTTATGCGTGTATAAGCAGACCCCTTAGTTTGGCAAATTTTTTAAAGTTTTAAACTCGGCTTATATGCGAGGATATATGGTGTATAAAAGACTTACAGCAAAAGTTTTTGAGCAATTTTCAAGAACATTCTGGTCTAAAGGTAAAAAACAACTGAAAAGTAGGTTTGAAACCTTGTGCCATTATCTCGTCAATACAAAATACAAACCTGATAAATTTCTATCAGTTATTCGAAAATTCACAGGGGCAAAAGCTTTAGAGGAAACAATCCGAGCACCTTCTCTCAAATTTTGAAATCGAAGTTTGAGTTGATGATCTACTTCTGGCCCAAATGCATAATTGTTGACAAAAATAACACTGAAAATATACGATATCGTAATGGTTAAACATATCATACTATGTCGCAAGATTCATCACATAAAGCCAAGAAGAATTATCAGATCTACTTTCATAGCCACCTTTTTATAATAAAATTTTTTTTTACAAAGATTCGCCAAGCATAAAAACAACCTAGGTAATGTGGAATCTTGAAAATATTTTTTTACATCGATTAGATCTACAATGATTTTTAAAATACAATTTCAAATGCCATCTTAAATACTAAAATATAGGTAGGCTATATATTCTGAAATTTAGGTACGAAAAGCATTACATCCTTTTTCAAAAATTGAATATTCCTATAGCCGAAATGGCTAAACTAAGCTTAATAATACCCATATTCTGTTTTATTTGTTGATAAAATCTGTTTTAAGGATTACGTTGTATGTATAAAAGATATTATTTGACAGGAACTAATTCTAACTAACTAACTAACTAAGTGTATGTACCAATATGAATGTTTATTGTTTACGACTTTTTTATATTTTGTTTCGCTGTGAGGGTCATCAGTGCATATCAAAATAAACTTTGCGAATATACCTAAGCTAAGTAGTATAACTAGATATGCCCCAATCACTTGGGATAAACCAAATTCCCTTTTTTTTTTTTTTGTAATTTGATTCCTATAGATAAATGAAGAATTCTTTCAAATAAAAATTTTACTTAATACTATCGAAGTTAATTAAAAAATCTGTTATCTTCGTAGCCAAATCACAATGTAAGTTTAATTTGGGCTAATCATTTATCCTTATCATAACTTCATTACTGAACAAATTTATCTAAATCCAACTATGATATAGGGGTGAATACCCAATATTGATTCGATTAAACTAAGCCTAGATTTTTTTACATCGACTCCTTAATTTTGATTCCATGAAAGTTAAAAAAACAACTACCTTTAGTAGCATTTATCTTAAACTTAATTTGAGATGCACAGAGCTCCATTTACCAGAAGTTTATTAAACAGCCATAATTCACAGGGGCAAGTTCACAAAGAAGCAGTCATAGCAACAAAACATATTATTTTCAAATACGTTTTTTCAGAAAAAATACTTAACGACAATTTAGACTCACGTAGCCGTCGATATTTTTTCCCTCCAGTCATCAGATAGAAAATCAGCTTCCGATATTTTATATGGTCGATAAGTTTTCCCATACCATTTCATCCATCTACGAAAATTTCTTTCCATGGTCTGAAATAAATAAAATATTTGATTTATATGATACAGAATGGGAAATAAAAGATAATACTACCCAATGCACCTGAGTGTTTATTTGAAAAGCTGGAAATCAAGTAAGCTACATAATGTTGCCACACAGTTACTGTCCTTATTATTGCAAAAAACACCAACAACTGAGTCTAGAAATTTGTCAACATTGAGATGTTTGTTTTTTGTAAGTGGGCGGGTTTATTACAAAATCATATACATATCATGCTTTTGCCACACAAAAAAATAATTATAAGTCTATAATACTATATATTAGAGTGAAGATTTCAATATAATGTCTATATTATTAGCAATCAACCACATCAAAAAAACAGACAATAGATGAAATGTCAGTGTGGTTGAAAACACATTCTACCACTGGTTTGTTTGTTGATTGTGATAGTGCTGAGTTTGTATAGTGAAGCCGTTGTTATACTTCATAAAGCTTCAAAAACAGTTACCTTATTACATAAAGAAAACCAGAATGACAACAGCGGGTAGGTACAACAATACGTTACGCAGCGCACTTTCACAACATAAACATCGATTGATTAGTCAGAGGCTCACGGTATAGCCTGCTGTATTGCAATGAATTATTATGATGACATGACATGGTAAGCAATGCTGTTGGCAAACAGGACGCTCAACGTGTGTCTCATGTCATTAATCTTCGTGGCTATACCATTTGAGAAATGACTAATGGACAATGTTTTTTTCATATGATAAATGTAGATTTCATAATACAATGATTGTTTGCGTAAATTTCAAATTCAAATAGCATACTATACAGTGTTGACAATTGATAATTAACATCATTTCAATAAATATACAAGTACATATATTATGGCACATCTTCAAATGTATTAATATAACTATTTATTCGAAACAGTTCAACTGCAAATTGGGTTGCAGTTCAGGATATATTAAGATATCTTTTAAATGCAATGCAAGAGCTAGCAACTGGATTGAGATAAGGTTTGAAATTACTTATTGCATGATTGGTCTTGCAGTGATATTTACAAGGGATAATTGCAGAATTAAGATGGATTAGTCGTCAAAATTCACCTAATTGAAAGTAATAGAAAAATGTCTGCTTGAATGAAAATTATCCGAATTTTGCTTTAAAATCTTAAATTATAGTTTATAAAATTTGACATCATTTTGCAAAATCTAAAATTCTAAATAAACTTACGAAAATCATAATTCAATGAGCTGTGCAATAAAGTTTAATAAAGCAGCATCCTCACGGCCAAAATGTGGACATTTCTAACACATATTTATAGGAAAGTAGGCATTTTCTATGATCAACTAATTTGAAGCTTAATACTTCCTTGTAAAGAAAATTTATTGGGGCTCCCGAAGTATGCGAACCAAGATGGCGGACATCGGAATGTAATATGTGTACTAGGTTAGGGTTAGGCCATAATTTTAGCTATAAATACTACGGGAGGCTCTTGGCTAGCTTTCGAACTGATAATAGGACTAAAATAAGGAAAATTGGAAAACAATTATCGCCTAATTCTATCCTGTTACCCACGTTACGTTCCGATGTCCGCCATCTTGGTTCGCATACTTCGGGAGCACCAATTTATTGTTGTGTTTTGGATTAGATGTGACACATGTTTAAAACGGGGCTTCTTAACCAGGAGTGCCTGCACACATCCCTGAGGAGTGCAAGAACTGTTCTACATTAAATCATCTGGGTACATCAAATCATCAAATATAAAGGCTATCATAACCAGAGCATAGTGGAAATAACAGCACAAGAGGTGAGCATTCTGCTTTATCTGAGACAATGTAAATATAGACTTATATGTAACTGTAATTTGATTATTATGATATTGATATACAAAAATAGTATTATTTTTTAACAATCATGGAATAGCAGTGCAAGAAACAGTTGGTAATTTTAAAGGCCGTAAAAGAAATAAAAGGTGATGAACCACTGGATTAGAAGTAAGAAAATAAGAAGTAAATCAAGGTAATATGAAAGATTTGAAAAAAAAATTATGACACAAATGTTACCAAGCCTTATTCATAGATCATACAGATATAAGTAAACCTGAGAATAATTGCATGCCAACGAATTGAAGCACACTATCAATCAATATATTTTTCAACTTCCTTCATACGACCTACTACGCTATGATGAGAGTGAATGTATTGATCAATATTTCACTACACACCATGCAACGTACGCATAGTAAGGAAATCAGACGGTCAAAATGCAGCTAATTTAACGTTAAAAGAAACGAAATGCTGCACATTGGCTTCAGGCTTAGTAATATGAGGTAATATAACATTTTTCATTGAATCTATTACATTTCTACAAATATGTAGAAATAATATATACATATTGATTTTTTTAGAAAAATTCGGAAATTTTTAATGGCAAGCAATGGTCTAATAATGATATATCATTGATTTTTTTAGAAAAATTCGGAAATTTTTAATGGCAAGCAATGGTCTAATAATGATATATCATGCTTTGTATCTAAAAAATTATATCTCAAAGAAAAGGCATAGGCTATAATAAAATTTGCAAATTTTCAAGCATGCAACTTAGTTTCTCGAAAATATATTTAGCATTTACTTCTTTATAAAATACGATCTAGTACATATCTTTTGACAGATAGTCAGATAATTCGTTCCCAAACAACAATTTGAGTGAATACATAATTATTACTCCTACTTGAGCCAATTGAAAAGAGGTCAGGCATGCAAAAACATTTCAATTCAGCGAAACAATTTGTTTGGTCTTAAAATAGATGCAATGCTATCATACAGATAAGACAAATTATTGCATGCAATAATGCATTATGCAGCTTACGGTATGCATTTTTCAAATAAAATTTCAAATAAGATGTATTTCAACAGTCAATCCTGCTTTTGTCCAGACAGTATTTATTAATATTAAAATATATAATTTTCATTCGATTAGTCTGGCGTATAATTGCATTTATAAATCCACAAAATGAGCCAAGACATGTACCTTTGACTTAGTGAGACCAAAGAAGATTTAAATGGAATTCAAAGATAAACATTGTAAATACAATGAGATTATCAATACTTTGTACGAAGGCAAGCATCTGTGGTTGTTCTAAAAATTCGGTGCTCAATTTACTGTTAAATAGTTTTTAATCAAAAACAGAGAATAGACAAACCAGATTGCTTCCAAATGGCACTATAAAATGCATATGCACATTTTTTCATGAAAAAACCAACTAGTATTTGCACAGGAAACTCATGGTTAACCTCTATATTGCAATTATACTACAAATTCATGCAGGGGACTCAAAGTTTCTTGTCTACTGTCATTTTCAAGTCTTGATTTCTATGTATGGTAAATTAGCAATCAAATCCCTATACATACTTTAGTGATAAAAATATACAGAATTATGATTTACTTCATCTATGAATTGTACAAAATACTAATATCTAATAATCTCTAATAGGCTTTATCAGAATAGGTTTTACTTACAACTGCATATTGAGCAGGAAGAGGAGCTTTCTCCACTCCATAACACATTTTGCATGGTGTTGAAGAAGCAACTTGAAGAACAACTTGTCCAACACCTGAAATGCAGATCAAATATTATGAATTGAAATTTGAAAATTAATTTCTTAAGTTAATATATCAAAATCATCTATTTCGATATAGGAATATGATACACAAGGTCAATCTCTTGATGGAATTATGATAGTTTTGAAATACAAAATGTTCATTTTATAAATAGACATGCACACAGAAATATTATTGTTACTAAATTTTGAATCACATTCAATATAAACCAGAGCTTAGAATTAAAAATGAAGAAAGATCCACTACATTTTCAAAATAAATCTGATCAGATCTGATAAAATATAATATTCATAATAAATCGTTAAATAATAAATAATTAGCTAATTTTCATGTTTTTTCTGTGGCCTAAACCAAACTGAAACAGCCCATTTTTATGATATAGTAGTGGTTTATGTGGAAAGAGAAAAGTCCAATTTCTCAAACCAGCAAGCAATTTGGTAATAAGCCTTTGGTCATATAATTAACCACTACAAGCTACCATATGTTTTATTGTCAGGCCTTGACAACAATACATGGCATTTATGGCAAGCTGTTTGGATTGTGCTGTGGTTACTAAAATGTCTTTGAGTAACATTTAGGCTTGAGAATGCATGAAAACTGTGCTTTACAACCGTACTTCCCAACATGTTAAATTTATTTTCTAGTATTTTATTGTTTATTCAATATTTAATAATAATGTTAGTTACTGAATAATAATAATATTTATATATAAAAGTAACTAACACGTCGATTTTGCTATGCTCAAGTAAAGACGCGCAACAATTCAATTTCAATAACTCCGCTGATGGCAAACAGCCTTCTCATTGGCACATAAGTAATTTCAGGTGAAATAAATGTTACGTAAAAATGATTGTTTTGTATTAGTAATTTAAATTTAGTTTTTGATCATATTCTTAGGTCACAAGATTTTAGCAAATTTATTTTCTATAAATTTGGGTTGTTTAACAAAAAGGTTGGGAACTTGGGAACCACTGCTTTACAAGACTTACTGGAAAAAAGTTGAACTCATTGTTTTATCTCAATATACCATACTGCAGCAAATTCATATTTTGTATAAAATTCAGCATATAATATGACAGTGGTGCAAAATGGATCACTTCAGATTATTTGTAACAAAATCTAATTTATGAGAGCCGTAAAACATTTTTTGTGCAATCAGAAACACACAAAGATTTTTCTTTTGCAGGCATTAAAATGACATTAGAACAACGCTCCAACATAGTATCTTATCTCCCCTATTTCCCCTCTACAGAGACATTGTTTGCAATCCAAAACCTCTGAATAATTTATCAATAAAATAAGAGAATTTCGGCTTTGAAACACCCCATGAAAAGCCGCCGGCAAAAGACAGACATACGGTAATTAATGGCCCGGCAAACTTTGGCTGCAAAATGCAATCAATGTTGGAGGCTGTAAAATTAGCTTTCTTACCCTTTGATAAAATTGAAAGGTATAGTTTAAAATGTAAATTTGGAAAATTGACTAGTAAATTTTTGAAAGCTTACATACACAGGATGGGCAAAAAAAAATTTACCATTTTTAACATTCTGACAATTTTCAAAAATGATAACATTTTTTCAGCCCACCCTGTATATTATGTAGCACTAGCAATATCAACCGAAAAGTCTAACATGAAATTAGTTCACATTAATTCCTTCAGAAATAAATATTATACATTTGAATTGAGCCATAGTAATTTAAGACATTGGTCTGAATAAATATTCTGAGACGCAATGAAATTACGCTCGTCATTTTTTTGAACTTTATTATGAAAGGGATTGCTTTATCAGATTATTTCAATCAATTGGCAATTTAACAATTCCAATTTTGAAATAAAATTAATCAACGCCTAAATTGTATATAATTTTAGCAAAGCAATATAAAGTACAACATAATGTCAGTCACAACTATACTTGATAGCATCATATATAGAATGTAGGGTGAACCAACCCAGGTTATTTGCAACATTGCCAACTTATTCTACAAAACTTTTTTAGAAAATGTCCAAGCATACTGAACATTTTGGGTACAAACATATTATACACAAACAGACATTTAAGTGTAAATGAATTATTTTCGTAGAAGTAATTCAGAAGTTTATGGGTTCTGTTTTTCAAGTCTCTCCGTATCTGATATTTTTTCAAAGGAAACACTATGAATTCAAAAACAGTTGTCATGATATATGTGTTTAGTAAATAAGCTTATATAACAATCATTTTGCTGTATCATGGTGCCGAATACCACAAAACAAGCGCCTGTATCTCGTATCGATAAATATTAGCAGGCAGCGTGCAACAATGGCTAAACATAAACAGGCAAAGTAATTTTTTGCCCCAGGCTAATAGTGCACTGACCTCCTTTACCAACTCAAGAGTGCTTTATTATTAACTCTAATGGATAGAAAAGGAATAACTTTTGTTGACAAAGCTAACTATTCTAGTAATGTATTACCTGATAAAGACCTTCTATTTTCATAAAACATTTCATATTAGGACATATTTACGGTAAGTGAAAAGATATATAAATTACGACAGTTAAACAATTAAAAAGTAAGGGTAAATTTACTCAGCGAATTCATTGACACCCATGAAATTTTTTACAACATTTTTAGAGTGAAAATATAACAACATACCACTTCCTAAATCAATGAAGATATCATCTTCTTTCATATCAAGTTCTTTAATCATTTGACTGATAAGTTCGAATGATGTTTCTCCATAGACTTCAGGTGAAAATGGTTCATACTGGTTCAGCTTTTCGGGTTCCAATATACTGTGGTTGTAAACCTATGTAAAATGAAGAAATAACAAGATTTAGTAACACAATATCCTATTCTAGATGAATTACAGATAATACTGCCGAAGTGAAGGCTATTTGATATCAGTAAAATCCAACTCCAGATCAACCATTAAAAATTATAGTTTTATAAAAGAATATTGTACAATATGGATGAATAAATACATAAAAAATAGCGCTAAAACATAATAAGCTTTCAGTTTGATCATTTCTTATTCTGTTCCCATAATAATGTATGTAGATTATAATTACAGACACTGAACTCGAGACATATAATTATCCTGATCACACTGTTTAATACATACAGTGCATATTTCAGCTGTAGACTACGCAAGTCAAGCACAAGACTAATTCCTTTGTATAATATAATCTATTTCGATGAATAGATATGCCACAACTGGTAGAAAAGTGAAAAATATACCATACTTTCATAAAAATAGGCATGAGATGTAGACCGATATAATATAATAGTCAAACGATCAATCATGGAATGATATTTATATTTGAAATTTTTTTTAACCCGAGTCCAAGTTACGCTTCATGAATACTTATAATTACATATACCTAAACTAAATGAAGCCAAGAAAAAATGGCAATTTCGTCATATATGACCTTGTGAAGGATAATCCGTAATTGAACCTTGATATGAGACCAATTAATTATACATAGATTTTCGTTCACTTGATGTATTTCCTCAATTAACGTTTTGAAGGGCTGATGCCTGAAACTGAAATCAGGCAGCCCTTGCAGTAGGCATCAGATTTCGTTGTCGAATAATATACAATACTATCATAAAAATAGGAATTCTATTTAGGCGATACAATATAATAATAAAACGTTCAATCATGGAATGATATTTATATTTGAAAAATTCTGCAATTCCAGTCTTAACTTATGCTTCACGAATACTTAGAATTACATATAAAATAAATGAAGCCATGAAAAAAGTCAATTTCGTCATATATGACCTTGTGAAGGATAATCCGTAATTGAACCTTGATATGAGACCAATTAATTATACATAGATTTTCGTTCACTTGATGTATTTCTTCAATAAACGTTTTGAAGGGCTGATGCCTGAAACTGAAATCAGGCAGCCCTTGCAGTAGGCTCAGATTTCAAATTGTCGAATAATATACAATACTATCATAAAAATAGGAATTATATATAGGCGATACAATATAATAATAAAACGTTCAATGATGGAATGATATTTTTATTTGAAAAATTATGCAATTCCAGTGTTAACTTATGCTTCACGAATACTTAGAATTACGATACATATAAACTAAATGAAGCCATGAAAAATGGCAATTTCGTCATTTATGACCTTGAAGGATAATCCGTATTTTAACCTTGATGTGAGACCAATTAATTATACATAGATTTTCGTTCACTTGATGTACTTCCTCAATTAATAACGTTTTGAAGTGCTGATGCCTGAAACTGAAATCAGGCAGCCCTATGCAGTAGGCATCAGATTTCGAATAGTCGATTGTTGAATAAAGAATATAATCATTATTGTATTAATAGCATCTTTTAATTTAATAGGACCTCTATTAATGTGTATTATTACTCACAGAGTGTACATAAATATTATATTGTACGCACAAGTTATCACCTATTTAATATTTGCATCAACACATACATAACTAGATAAAGCATAATCTATTAACATGCCATGTCTGGCACAAACCTAAAACGTGCATAAAACCATAAAAGTGACAGTTGGATTCAGTATTGGTAACTGTATTTACCCAGGGGATCAGTGAACAAATAGAAGTTAATGAGTAACATGAACTGTGGCGATTCGTACTTCTCATTCTATTATACAGAATAGATATCAAATATCACATCACAAAAGAAAGCTTGTATTTAGGTTAGCTTCATGGAATGTCACGCTCAGTTTGAAAGCTCGAATGAGGTTGACAATATAAGCTTTGTGGACATTTCATTCAAAATGAAATCTGTAACACTGCCGTGAGAAAACACTTCCGCAAACCACTTGATCATGAAATTATGGGGCCATTCAAAAGGCTTCTTCATATAACATCGGAACTAATGTAATGAATAACAAACATTTGATAATTGTTTGATAATCAATTTTATTCAAGCATATTCAACATGTTCAAAAGTAATAAACTTTACTGTATTTTTATAAACATAAGGTGTCTTATTTGAATCTGTGATTTTAAAATTTAGCAAAATAATTTCAAAAACACCAAGAAAATATAATGAATATACCGTACTAACCTGTTGCATGATGTGTCTCAATAAGCCATTGGAAGGCTGGCGTTGAAGATTAGCTGATTTACTTGTCCCTTGCCACTGTATTGAAAAAAAATCAATTTTTAGTGACATATACCAATAATCAACTGTACAGAAACAAAGACTGTACATAAGCAAGGAAATGTCAGAGTATTTCAAACAGTTTTGTACAAAATTTATCTCCAAATTATATCAATTGCATTAAAAGGTCTTGGACTTATGCTTTCAGGTAGCAGCTGCAATCCTTGTTTTCTAATCTAGGTATATATGTGGAAAAAAACAATCAGACTTGTTGTTGTTTAACATGTACAAATGGTTGATGTATAATAAGCAAAATGTTCTATCTCAGTGAAGAATATTTATCAACAGGAAACACTTCCCATGCTCAAAAATCTTACAATAGTATTACAATGTAATAAAAGCTTGCAATGCTTTGAATAATCATGAAACACCTATAAGCTTTTAAAAAATCACTAAAAACGAATAATTTCAGAAATATAAGTTTTTAAATACAATCACAATAATCAATATGCATATCTATTTCATTATATGTTTTATAATATCATTATATTTACTGCACTTCCTAATCAATATCTGTCCTCTCATTCATTGTTAATGAATTTTAATTTGATAATTATGATCTAACAATGGTCTATATATATATATATATATATATATATATATATAGGTTAATTTAATAAGGGATAATCTTTAACTATAAAGCAGTTCTGCTTTACTAGTATAGTATTAAGTGATTGAACGAGCTTTCTCAGATATTATGATCTTCAAATTCATAAAAAAATAGTCCTCTAAAAATATTGTCGATTTTGTTCGAACTACATTCTTGTTAATCCTGCTACTAAATTCTTTTGAAACAATGAATAGTCAGCTTACCAGTTGTAGTATTGAATCCATAGCTCTGTTGTATTTATCACAGAGTTCTTTCATGCTTTCATAACTGGAAAAAAAATGACAAAATAATATCTTTCTTGCCAGAATTCCCTCAGCTGTTGAGGTTGCAATGGTTGATGATGTGTGTGTATGAATAGCTACAGTCTTAGAATATTCGTAAATCGTGAATATTTTAAATTCTGTGAATATTTTCGACAAAAAATAACTGAATATTGAGTTAAATTTTAGAAAATTATCAGTTTCGAATACAGGAGTGTTGTGGAAAACTGAATAATAACCATAAATTTCTATTGAGTTAGATATTGAAAAATTATCAGTTTTGAATGCTGGAGTTTTCTGAAAAATTGAATAATAACCACAAATTTCAGTTATTTGAAGCCAAACATTGAATTTTTAAATTACCAGTTTTACTTTTGAATGCAGGAGTTTCATGAAAAACTGAATAATAACCATGAATTTCAGTTACCGGTATATAAAGCCTAACATTGAAATTTTAAATGGATATTTTCCCTCATAGTAAATAATTCCTCTGATTCTACAACAGAGTTAATGATTCATTTATGTTAATGATGATAGCAAGCAATATTTACGATATGTCTTTACTATATACTATCTTAGCTAATTACTTCATGAGTCATGACAACAAAAATAGCCTGGCATCGAAGTAATGAAACTATCTAATGAGACCAAAATAAACTAATAGTAGTCAAACGATGGAACAAACGTTTATGATGATATAGCTTGTCTGGAGACAGAAGGTAATTAATTTGAAATTAAAAAACCATGTTCAAGATTTTTAAAATATCTGAAAATTTGATGGCAGAGTGTTCTTCGAAATTAAATCATTTGCTAACCGATAGATATTTTATTAAAATGAGACAAATTCAGTAAGTAAAAACTATAAAATATTCACAAATATCAAACACGAATATCATAACACTTAAACATTTGGGGTAACAGGAATAATAAAAGTTATCGTTCTTGGGTACGGATTTATCTGCTTTCAATAAAAGCCAATATCACCAAAGTATGACAGAATATTTACAATTAAATTTTGCTACATGTCCATGATCAATTCCCACGGTATTTTCATTTAACCACAAAAAATGACATAAATTTTCACCGAATTCAACGTCCAGCCTCTTGGGACGACAAATGACAGATGCCACCTTCACGAGTACAGTGGTAATTTCAATCAAAAATGGAATGTTAGATGCGAATAGAATATCGATAATGCGTATTAGAACCAAGGAACCATTTTAACTAAATATTACACTTTTATCATATTCTTTTGAGTACAAAAAAATTCCAACATTTAAAATATATTCACTAATGTGTATTATGAATTCAATTGTTATAATTTACAATTTATATGGTTGTACAATGTACAGTAAGCTATCAAAACAGCAATCCTTTGAGGCATTTTATTACAATTGGCTTAGCAAGTTACTTGAACTAATACCAGCATATACCACGATGAATATAATGGTATGATATGCCACTATAATAATGTCATTATTGAGGAACCATGGAATTCGGTGTAAAGCAATTGAAAAAAGGCGTTTTTCAACTGCATTCGATGAATGTTTAATCTGGCAGTAAATTCCTAATCTGATGGAATTCCCAAAGCCCAGTAATAGAAATGCTACTAAATGTAGCATTTTTCAATCTTCTACTATACATACTTTTTCGTATCATAATCTGCAAGTATATGTTTTTCCATTGCCATTTTCAGATCAGGATAATCTTCACACACCCATCTGAAAGAATAAATTAAACTTAATTGCTTTTCCGCCATTGTGAAAGTCAATACATTACACAGCAAAATATGATATTTATAAAGCTCCTAAACCCTTTTACTCAGTTCAATTATCTGTAGACACAAAGCAAGAACGGCCAATTTGAAGATATATAGGATTTATGACAACAATATCACATTTCATATTTATAAAAAACTCAAAAGATAATGCATGCACACAATGAAAAATTAAGATTATAAACATTCCTGAATCATTTGCCTGCTCTTGGCCAACTAACCAGCTGCTGTTTTAGATCGTAGATTCAAATCGCTATGTCCAAATATAGCCAGGTTGTAAGTGCACTAGCATTGCAAGTCAGATATCTTGGTTTTAATACGTTCATATAATAACACAACAAAACATCATATATTAGGATTATTTTGGTACAATTTAGCTTCATGTGCAGTTGATGCATTTTCTTGACTTCAATTTATCGAATTGTATAGGATATAACACGATTATGGAGAGGTAGCCTATTGCAATATGAAAAGAATTTGTTAATAACTGGCTTGAACATTTCTTAATCTTATTCTATTTGTACAAATATTCGTGTTGTATTGAAAATATTAGTTCACAGATTTACGTAATGACTAACACGTATATGAATTCATTCATATTACATCCTTCCTGAATGATTATGGCAATGAGACATTGATTTGTACATGAGAAATATTATTTATTTGTTTGCTGAGCAATACAGCAATCTGGTATAAAAACGTTTGCCAACTGTGTAATATACAAAATAGCCTAAACCAAACAGTCTACCATTATTACAATAGTTTTATACTCAAATATGAAATGTGTATAGTATTTGAGAATAAATCAATATAATATGACTGCAAGTTCAAACATGCATTAAAAGATTACTATACTATCTTGTGAATACAGTTACAATTTAAACGGGCATATGTCAATTTATCATTACAGAAACCTTATTGACTTGAGCGATATCACAGAAATCGAAAGAAAAATATGGTCTGTTAAATTACTAGATAAAAATGGTGTTAAATAATGTTTTCAATAAGTAATCAACTCAGTGCTGACCGTTGGCTATTTATCTAGGCATGGTGGTTGAACAATCTTAACATACGTTTTACTTTGAAAGTTACATGAACTAAAGCCAGATCAATACTTAAATTGTCAGAGCATGACTACACAGCTCAGTGCCCATCGTCCGTGAATAGGTAAGTGGGCACAAAAGGACAAAAGAGACTCATCGTCTTCTTACAATTGTGCAAACGATTCGTTATATACAATGCCCAATCAAAAATGTTTGACTATTGATACTGAACCAAGTATGGGCAATGCATGAAGAATAGCATAGAAACATGAATCTTCCATATTTCAAACTTGGTGAAGCACAATTATAAAACAGATGGATTGACGGTTGACTCGAACACTAGCTGGTTACTCGTGTACATTGCACAAATATGTCTAACTGTACGAACCACATTTGTACAAAACCCAAATATTTTTTCATGTAAGATTAAAACTACCAATGTATACAGATGGATTGACGGTTGACTCGAACACTAGCTGGTCACATCGCGTACATTGTACAAATATGTCTAACTGTACGAACCACATTTGTACAAAACCCAAATATTTTTTCATGTAAGATTAAAACTACCAATGTATGCGGTTGCACATTAGTCAATAAATAATAACTTCATTCTATTGTGAATACTTCATAAACTGTAGGAAGGCTGTAAATAAATCTTTCATCCCAGTAATAAAATTTTTAAGAACTAAATTCAAATTTAATTAAATACCTGATTGTGTCAATAATTTCATATGCTCCATCTTTGGTCTCCTTAAAATAAAAGATAAAAATTGTGGTAAAAAAAAAAACTCTCCAGTAAAGTAATAACATATGCATAAGGAACAATTGTGTTGCTTCTTTCAAAATGGGCAAGTAATGAAGTAAAGTAGTAAATGATAATTCGAATCACAGCTAATTAATATGAGTAACTGATAAAATGATCAACTCGGAGATAACAATGAAAGGACCTCCTGAAGTATGCGCACCAAGATGGCGCACAACCTGAACTCGGGTTGTGTACCAGGTTAGGGTTCAAGTTGTGCGACATCTTGGTGCGCATACTTCAGGAGTACCCAATGAAATAATAACAAAACTGTAAATGTTATCAACTATTTGAAACAAATTATCAGAAGGAAAAATATGCTAACATTGTGACCAATCACCAAATCTATTTAGGGCTTTTTTAACAGTTTTCAATGCTTCAATAATAATCTTTTATAAACAACATAAAAAATTATTCAGCAGAGTTTTCTGCTAAATTGTGATGCATGCGAAAAGGTATGCGAACAAGGCAAGATCCAGTAATTTTCAATGTATTTAATCTAATACCTAAACAAATCAGGTAATAAAAATAATAAACAAAGTTAAAATAATATGCAAGAAAGCTTACATAAGTGGGAAGAGGCCACTTATAAATAGCTGGTTCAGCACCAGCAGGGCTTTTCAGTCGTAAGTTGAGTCTTTTGTCTCCAATTTCTTTTGTCATATTTTATTTTTATATCAATTCAACCAAGAGAAATCTGCTTTTAAGTTATCCACTCATGTAAATCCTTAATTCCAGGCTACGCAGACGCTTATATCCCAATATCATCTCAATGTTTAAAATACTCCGTATTGCTGTTGTTTCCTCTCCAATATTTGACTATGACAATAGTCAATAATAAAAACTTTTATGCAAACCACACCGAAGGCATTTTCTCTATTTGTAACTGAACAAAAACCAGCTGTACAGGTTTTGCAACAGAATAATAATAAATACAAAAACTTCAATTTTCCCGGAATTATGTTAAAATATAGTACATAGATATTTGTTGACAGCAGTTTGACTGCACATTCCTAACTGTAAATGGGAAGGTAATATTAAGGTAACATTTATTAATAAATTATTTTGATTGAAAACGATAGGACAGAACCTAAATTTGAAAATTACAGTCAATGAGCTCCAAAAACTTAGTCCATCTGCATCTAATATTTTAAACTATGTTCTTTCCGGTCTTTAAATAATTTGAGTCGGTTTGAATTTTGTTTTTGTTCAGAAAAATGAATATCTCCTATTGAATCAAAGCGCAGATGTGTGTTAAAATAGTTCGTAATCACCAAAACACCCACAAAATAGTTAAAAAAGTAATAAGTTAAAGTAATGGCTTAAATAAGTCAAAAAAGTGCCATGTATTCAAGCATAGTGATTCCTAATGATTTTTCACTGAAAAATTAGCCTTCAATTAGAACCACCATTATCTATGCCAGGGTCCTGCAGATAAAAAAAATTATTATGAGGTATAAATTAACTGACATTTAGCTTTCATGCTTTTACCAATATAGCTTTAAAAACGTTGAGTCTCATATCATAGCCCAATGCGCCTCATGTATGATTAAAACACAATCCTATCAATTTATTGACAGTGAGCCTTGCAGTCTGTAAAATACAGTAATGCTTAATTTTTTGTTTCTTAATTTTCAAATTAAAAGTTGATACTGTTGCTGCAATTAAGTAAATCTTGATATGCCTAGCGAAGTATGCCCGGAACCTGAGAATTTGGAGCAGCTCAGAAAAAAACATATTTCTTGCTGTTAAAAAGTTTACATAAGAATAATATTTAAACCGAATGAAGTATTATAAAATTGATTTATAACTCTAAATGCATTTCTCGTTTCGCAATGAGCTTTTAAGCAAATCAGACTATGATATCAAACATATATCAAGTTTCACTTTTATTCTATAGAAATGAAAGCAGTCCTGATACAAATTCTAGGGTGATGATGCCGTACCTGTGATGTATGGCATCAACCTGCGTAATTCTAGCTGTATCTGTGTATAATGTTTTATCAAAAAAGGTGGTCATAATTCAGTAATTTAACCATAACAGCTATTACTGTATTAAATTTAACCTTGTTTTGCCATATGACTGTATGAATACCTACCGGTACCAATCTTCCGGATTTAGCAGCTTTACTGGGTAAAATCCTACGGTACTTCACTACCTGTTCATTCAGACATTACTGCATTACTGCCTTAACCAGTTAACTGTGCATTTAATTTCTTTCGCAATTATTTTGGAAATCAGTTGCATGATTTATTTTCATTAGTCAGTTAGTTCACTCACAGACATGCCGGTAGCAAAATTTATGGCAGAAGGTTTTACTGCTCTACCGTACCGGTACCGGTACCGGTTTACAAAATACACCAGTCAGTCAAGAGCTATATTACTGTATTAAACAGGTACAGGTACGGTATCATGGTAGGCACAGACAGTACTGCAGGCAGCACGGTACCGGTACCGTACAACATACGGTAGGTAATCTACGGTATATACAGATATACAGGAAAATAGCAGCTCTCTTCACTCCACTCACTGACTCAGCTAAGGTAGGTACCGGTACGATACCGGTACCGTACTGCCTGTACTGGTACACTTCTCTGTCAGTCTATACCGGTACCGGTATCCTGGCACTGTGGTAGTGTATGGTACGGTATCCGTATGGCATTACGTTTTTGCTAACCATCCTACCAGTCAGTCCCGATTTTCGTACCGTATATATTGCGATGGAGTACCGTATTTTACCGAAAGTCAACCAGGAGCATCTACTGCGTACCGGTACCGGTCCACAGGAAAGCTGAAAGCCAAAACAAAGCCCGGCAACACCACAAACGCTGTGGAGGACCTTTTTTTTTTTTTTTTTTTTTTGCCAAATAAATTCCATTTTTTTTTTTTTTTTGCCAAATAAATTCCAATGCCAAACGGAATTTTCGTATATTAATTTTATTGTCGAATTAGTATAATTTGCACCCAATTAAAACAATTTCATAATTTCAAAACACATTGCCCACAAGTTCAATAATATATGTAACAATTAAAATATAAAACCATACCATTACCGGAGTTTTGTATCATATATAGTCCAATTTATATCCATTGAATATAGGTTAATCCATATTATCAGTCGTCATCCAATTCGTGCACACATTTTATATATAGTTACCAATAATTAATCGATTTAGTTAGTTTTTGCATGGAAATTAGAAAATAGAAAATTAGAAATTCAGTAAAATATGATGAAATAGTTAAAAGTAAAAGTAGTATGCGCTCAATATTCAAATGTAAACTGATAGGAGTTTTAAATTTAATGAAAACAAGTGAAAGAAATGATTTACTATTGTATGAACATATGGATGATCTCATACATAGGTCAATCATGATGTGACATGACATTGACATTTTCTATGCAACACCAACTTAAATGGATAGTACATGAAAAGATTCCAATGTCCAAATTTATGCATCATTTTGATTTAATTCATACATAGATAGTGAATAGAGAAATGCCAAAAAACCCACTTTGTCTGTTTTCTGATTTTCTGTCTAATTTTCTGTGGAGGACCTCTGTGAAGCTAGCAGCAAAACACGAAATTGTGACTGACAGAATCGCAGAAAATACCCACGCGTAAAATTAAATGTTCCCAATGATTTTTATAAGAAAGTGTATAATTTGATTAGTTTCACAATAGCAATTAAAGCCAAACAATCATTAACTACACTCCTCGTATTGTTAATATATAGTAAACAAGCTAAAGAGACTGTTACAGTGCACAAATTTTTTTTATAATTCTTTGAGAGATGTTTAAAAATGACTGAATTTTCGTCGTGTAACATGGTCGTTTCATGAAAACCTCCAATGAAGGCAGCATTGCAACACCATTGGTGAAAAGTAGAAACCTCAAAGATTCGATTTCAATATGTCAGAACAGTCTCAGCACGTTTTGACTTGACCATATATAATACTAAAAATAGCGTATATTCTTCAATTTTTAAAACAATGTTTATACAACAAATTTGAAACTGATTTTGTATTTCAACTAAATTTACTGGATAGTTCATCAAAGAAGATATTTTTCTCTTTGTCACACAACAATAATGCACTTCATTAAACTTAGAATAAGTTGAGTAAAGTCTGAAATACTGAAAAAAAATTTACGCCCTCTTGTGGATTCTTTGATAAATTTCACAAAATAATCGTTTTCGAAAGGGCGATTTCTCAAAAAACGCCAATAAAGGCAGCACTACGACACATTCGAAGAAAAGCAGATACCCTATAGATTCGATTTTAATATGTCAGAACAGTAGCAGCACGTTTTAACTTGGCAATACATGATACCAAACATAGCATATAATTTTCAATTTTATTAACTATGTAGATGTAACATATTTAAAAACGGTTTGGTATTTCAACTTAATTTACTGGATAATTCATCAAACACTTTTCTCTCTCGGCCATATATCACAACTGTACGTTCATTAAACTTGGAATAAGTGGCAAATCTCAAAATGCCAAAAAATGATTTGACGCCCTCTTGTGGATCTTTTTCGGAATTTCGAAAAATTATCGTTTTTGAAAGGGCGATTTCTCAAAAACCGCCAATAAAGGCATCACTACGACACATTCGGAGTAAAGCACATACCTTATAGATTTGATTTCATTATGTCAGAACAGTAGCAGCACGTTTTGACTTGGCCATATATAATACCAAACATAGCGTGTATTCAAACTTTTATAAACAATGCAGACGTAACATATTTAAAAACGGTTTGGTATTTCAACTAATTTTACTGGAAAATTCATCAAATACTTTCTTCTCTTGGGTATACAACAAAACTGTACGTTCATTAAACTTGAAATTAGTGTGCAAATCTTAAAATGCCAAAAATGATTTGACGCCCTCTTGTGGATTCTTTTCGGAATTTCGAAAAATTATCGTTTTTGAAAGGGCGATTTCTCAAAAACCGCCAATAAAGGCAGCACTACGACACATTCGGAGTAAAGCAGATACCTTATAGATTTGATTTCATTATGTCAGAACAGTAGCAGCACGTTTTGACTTGGCCATATATAATACCAAACATAGCGTGTATTCAAACTTTTATAAACAATGCAGACGTAACATATTTAAAAACGGTTTGGTATTTCAAATAAATTTCCTAGATAATTTATCAAACTTCTTTTTCTTTTGGACATACATATATACTATACGTTCATTAAACTTGGAATAAGTTGCGGAAAGTATAAAATACCAAAAAGCACTTTACGTCCTCTTGTGGATTATTTTCAAAATTTCAAAAAATTATCGTTATTGAAATAGCGATTTCTCGAAAACCGCCAATAAAGGCAGCATTACGACACATTTGGAGAGAAGCAGATACCTTATAGATTCGATTTTAATATGTCAGAACAGTAGCAGCACGTTTTAACTTGGCAATACATGATACCAAACATAGCATATAATTTTCAATTTTATTAAAAAATGTAGATGTGACATATTTAAAAACTATTTAGTATTTCAACTAAATTTACTGGAAAATTCATCAAACATCTTTTTTTTTTTTGGACGTACATCAATAATAAACGTTCATTAAACTTGGAATAAGTTGCAAATTGTATAAAACAACAAAAAAATGACTTACGCCCCATAGTAATTTTGTTTAATATCTCGAACATACCGTTTTTGAAGTGGCGATTTCCACAAAACCGCCAATAAAGGCAGCACTACGACACATTCGAAGAAAAGCAGATACTCCATAGATTTAGTTGAAATACCAAACCGTTTTTAAATATGTTACGTCTGCATTGTTTATAAAAGTTTGAATACACGCTATGTTTGGTATTATATATGGCCAAGTCAAAACGTGCTGCTACTGTTCTGACATAATGAAATCAAATCTATAAGCTATCTGCTTTACTCCGAATGTGTCGTAGTGCTGCCTTTATTGGCGGTTTTGAGAAATCGCCCTTTCAAAAACGATAATTTTTCGAAATTCCGAAAAGAATCCACA